CACACACACACACACACACACACAGCTGTGTGTGCACTTCCTCTTGCAACACTCTCTTCTCAAATAAAGCCTCACAAGTTCTGTTGTGGTCTTTTTCCTTCTTCTTCTTCTTCTTCTTCTTCTTCTTCTTCTTCTTCTTCTTCTTCTTCTTCTTCTTCTCCTTCTTCTTCTTCTTACACTTTCACTGTTCTCTTCAAACATTCTTCTTGTTTAAATCTTTGCTCCCACCTGATACAAGTTAATACAGATTATTTATTTGCAGGACTATGTTGGTTAAGTTAATGTTTCATCTAGGCCGGTGGTCTGCGAGGAACAGGGGTCTCAGATGGACTCTTGGTAGTCGGTKGGTCTCAGCTTCATGACGGTGGTCTTCAGCGAGTACCACCACCCTCTCCATGGGTACCAGACCACCCCATCGTCTGTCAGAGAACTGTAGTGCCCACGGGGGTAGTACACACCGTTGAGATGTGCTGAGTGACACCTGCAGGAAGTAAAACATGTTTTTGTTAGTATCTGATGGTTGGATGGTTCTTCACCAGTAGAAGTCGTACTTGTTGAACCACCAGCCTCCTCTGTCTTCCTGAGCACAGTTTCCTCTGTAGTTGTCGTTATCCTGGTCGTAGGTGCTGAACTTCATGCCCTGGTGACTGGCCCACTCTGACTCCGCTGCCAGGTGACCTCCAGACAGAGCATCTCCAGCCGTCCCTTCAAACGCCCCAAAGCTCAGGCGGTAGTGATCCTAAAGACAGGAGTACAGCAGCGACTTGATGGCTTTGAATATTTTAAGCTCCTGTCACTCATTTTACACAACTTGTGCCAACTTGTGAAAACTTAGACCAACACTTAAGATGTCTACGATAAAGCTAAAAACAACAAAAATTACTGGAAGCCTCATTTGGACGTAAACATTTTGTAAAAATAATGATTAACCAATATAAATAATTGTCTTAACAAAATGTGACAGGACCTTAAAGTTTAAAAAAAAGGCCAATGGATCCAAAAACTTAGCATCTAATTACAACCTGTTCATTACTGAGACTGTAACTCATAAATATCTATAAAGATAAAAACCTTAGAACAAATTTTAAAATGTGTTTTTGCACAAATAGAGAAAATAAATCCTGTTCTTTGGAAGGATGGCTAACACTCACTGTGCTGTGGGTCAAAGTTTCACACAAAGATCTCAACTTCTGCTCAGAGTGTGTTGGGAATGACTCTTACAAACTAAATATTTAATTTAGGCAACATATTTAATTAAATATTTAGCTACAAGGAACTAAATATTTAGTTTGTAAACTAAATATTTAGCTAAATGCTAACTAAATATTTAATTTGCAAGTTAAGTATTTAGTTTGTAAACTAAATNCACCAACTGTTCAGGAGGATTATTACACCACTAAAGGTTGTTTCACTGTGGAAGGGGTGTGTACAGCCGGGTGGCCAATGACTTGTCTGTGGTGGCCATGGCCACCCCTGGCCACCCCCTGGCTCCGCCCCTGCAGATCAACTGTCTGAAAAATAACGTCACTGCTTGAACTACAGTCCTACAGACATTCAGTGTGGACTTGAGCTGTTTTCATGCAGAATATCTTCACTAGATTGTAGGAGTCTTTAGAAAGTAGAAACTACTATGAGCACTTACATTCAGGGAGCAGGAAACACCTGCCACGATGAGCAGTCCTGTCATCATCATCAATGAGCCGCTCAACATCCTCTTCTTCTGTGGAAATCAGAAGTCAACAAGCTTTGTGTTCAGTCAGAGGTGTGTTTATGTGTCTGATATCTGCCCAGGAGGACGGTGTTCTGACCCGTCGTCACACCTGCAGCAAAACAAGCTGCTCCAGACCAGRAGAAATACCTGATTCTGTACGGTGATAACACACACCAAATGTTCAGGGAGGTTTCAAAACACATGGACACTGCCCCAAAGCAAGCACATCATCTGTAAAAACATTCACATTATTTAAACATTTGATCTGAAGATGCAGAGAATCAAAAGATGTAACATTTAGATGTGGTGTTTCCTTTTCTTAAAGCTGTGCTGTCCTGGTTTCTCTCTGTTTCCTGTCTCTGTCATTAACACTCAGTCATTACAACAATTAGCACATGATGCAATTTCATATAAATGTTGTGAGCAGCAAAAAGCCACTAAAAGTCATCTTTTACAGGAACAGAAAATGACTAAATTAATGCTGATAGTGTTGATTTCAAACAGAAAAATGAAACATTTTTTGCATGATGGCTTTTATYCTCTGAAACGGGAGAGTGGAGGCTCACACTGATCTTCAGATCTTCATGATGGTTTAACTGTGTGGTTGTAGTGAAGCAGGAAACAAAGGTTAAACTCATGAGCTTTATTAAAGTCTGAAGAAGATGGAGATGTCATTACACAGTTCAGTTCAGTCTCCAGGCTCTTCTGTGTGTGTCTGTTAAACAATCACACAGTCTCAGTGATCGTTCAGGTAACGTCTTCAAGACTTCAGCCTTTCCACACCTGGTCTGAGGATTAGAAGTGTTTGCTCGCATTCCTTTTGTGAGTTGATGTGGATTTTCCAGCTGAGGTGTCTTTGCGGCTCCCTGAAAACACACACACACACACACACACACACACACACACACACACACACACACA